GCCCAGCCGCCCGCCACGATATCGGCGACTCCGGCTTCCGCATGGCGGCCGCCCACCGCCGTGGCGGGGCAGGGGCACGCGGCCGCAGCGGGCGCCGGCGACGCCCCCAGCGGCGCGCCGCGGCGGCCTGCGGCGGCAGCGGGAGACGCCGCAGCGCCGTGGGCGACCCCGAGGGACGGCGCGCGCGGCGGCGCGGCGGGGGCAGCGTCTCTGGGGGCGCCGTGCGAGAGCGCGTCAGCACATCACGCAGCGGCCGCGAGTTTGACCATGCACAGCGGCTCAACCCGCTCGTCTATGTCTGGTGAGACGAATTTGGTCGATTTGCCCAGCCGCAGTCTACAAGGCTGTCTGCATGCAGTGCCATGCGGGCTCCACAGCTGAAGAGCGAGTCTTGCAACTTGTTTCAGACGCGGCCTGCTAGATGGATTGGATGCGTTCATGCAGTTGTGACCCCGCTCGTCCGCGATGGTGACCCCGCTCGCCTGTGCGCCCGCCCGCCCGCGCCCCTGCAGGCATCGGCGGCGACGCGACCGCGCGCAGCGCGACGGCCGGCCGGTCGTCTGGCAGCAGCGGCGGGCGCGTGGGTGCGATTGAGGAGGACACAATATCTTGCGGGCTCGCAGACGGGCGCGGCGGAGGTGGGCACCTGAAAACATATTAGACTGGCGATGATGTGGCCGGGCGGGTGACACAAGGGGCGCGAGTTCTGTATGTGCGGCTGCACAGCCCGCGGGTCAATGCGCTGCAGCCGGCGCGGCCTCGTCGCCGTGCTGAGCCGCGGCCTCTCCTGCCGTCCGCCGGCCCGCAACGCAGGCCCCCAGCCGCCCGGCCTCGAGCCGCCGCACCCGCCGGCCGCCGTGGGTGGGCCGCAGCAGCACCCCGCCCTGGCGCCCTCCAGCCAAGGCGGCAGCCAAGGGGGCAGCCAGGGCGGCAACCAGGGGGGCGGCGGCAACACCACCGGAACTATCGGCCTGAAGCGCTTCGGTGGGGCGCGCGCGTGGGCTGCCGCACTTCCCATTTGCGCAGTGTGTGCTGGGGGGAGGGGGAGGTGCGAGCCATGCGGGACCCTCAACGTTTTTGCATGGCCGTGCTCATGGGCTGCACGCGTGTCCCAGTGCTAGCTCATCATCCATGCGTAAGGCATCATCCTCGCGTGCGGCCGTCGCCACTGCACAACTGCCCAGGCTTCAAGAGCCGCGCGCTCAGGGTTGGCGGCGCCGCGGACCAGGCGACTCCCGCGCCGTCTGACGGCGCCGGCGCGCCGCGGCAGCAACACGGCGCCCCTTGCCAGCCGACCGACGCTCACGGGGGCCACACGCTTGGCGCGAGCGCCGCGGCGGCGCTGCAGACTGCGGTTGCACCAGGGGCGGCGGACGAGGACGGGGACGCGGGCCATGGGCGCAAGCGGCGAGCGGGCGCGGACGCGCCGCCAGCGGCCGTGGGCGAAAAAGCCGCCGCCTTGCTGGTGAGCCAAGGGCTGGGTGAGGTCGGGTTGCAGGGAATCGGATGCGCAGAGTTTTTGTTCCGGGCCTCAGGTCTGCGTTTCAATTCACAAGTTGAACGCCTGCACGCCCTTCCTCCCTGCCAGGCGCAGCAGCGGCCCCCGCCCGCGGCCGTTGCGGCCGCCGCGGCAGCCGCCCCCGCCGCCGCAGCAGGGTCTATCGACGACAGCGACGACAGCGTGCCCTTAGTCATGGGGAAGCTGGCGGCGCGGCTGGACCCCGGGCGCGGCACGCTCGTCGCCTCGCACACGCACAGCCACATGCAGCCGCGGCGGACGCCCCTCGATTTGCAGGAGGCGGCGCCCGGCCCTGGGCCGAACGGGCGCCAGGCAGGCGAGTCGGTTGGCGAGGGCGGCGGGCGGCGGGCGGGGCCGGCGGAGGGGCGGCTGCCCTCGTCGCTGGAGGTGGCGCCCGTGGCGGCGCCGGATGGCGCGGGTGGCGGGCGGCGGCCTGTGCCCGCTTATGGCGACCGCGGCACCGGCAGTGGTGCAGGCGAGGGTGTTGCAGCAGCTGGTTTCGAGGTCGTCCCAAGCACAATCGTCCTGCCGGCCACCAAGGCGGCGGCAGTGCCGCCCACGATGGTGCTGCCTGCCCCTGGGGCGGGACGCGGCCCCTGCGACGGCGCGTCCGTGGCGCCGCCTGCGCCCCTGAGTAGGGCGCCAGCCGAGGCCGCCGGCAGGGGTGCGGCGGCGGCGGCGGCGACACAGCAGCAGCGGCCGGCGGTGGGGGCGGCTGCTGTGGAGCAGCAGCGGCCAGCCAGGCAGCCGCTGAGGTGAGCGGGGTGATGCAGAGGTGCAGACGGGACAGGGGTTGGAGCGAGGGGCGGCATGACCGGTGGTCCTGGAGATTCAGGTTGCCTCACAGATCAATACTACAGTGGCAATTCTGAAGGGGTATGCATGGCTTTTATAATTCATATGGGAATGCATGTGTTGCCAATGTGTGCACCTCTGGTGGAGTCTCTTACACAATTGGCAGGGCACGCGTACACAGCTCTTGTGCGCAGCCGCTGGTGCGTCCGGTCACTGCCTGCCGTTCTGCCGCCCGTCTGCCCCGCCGCGACCTGCCAATCGCAGGCCTGTTCTGCAAGCGGTGGATCCGCAGCCGAGCGAGGGGCAGCGATTACATGCAGACGCGGCGAAACCCAAGCCGGCGCCCTGCGCTGCCCCGCAGCAGCAGCGGCAGCAGCAGGAGCAGCAGCCGCCGCCGCAGCAGCAGGCGCAGCGGCCGCAGCCACCGCCACAGCAGCAGCAGGCTCAAGCGCAGGCGCGTGCGCCGCCGGAGCAGCAGCAGGCGCATGCGCAGCAGCAACCCTCACAGCAGCCCCTCGCGCAGCCGCCACCGCCGGCTGCGGTGCAGCAGCAGCAGGCGCAGCAGCAGCAGCAGCAGCAGCAGCAGCAGCAGCAGCAGCAGCAGCAGCAGGAGCCGCCAGCGCAGAAGCGCGCACGAGAGGACGCGCACACTGTGTACGTGCAGGGGGTGCGGTACACGAAGCTGGAGTGTGTGGGGCGCGGCGGCAGCAGCAAGGTCTTCAAGGTGGGGGTGGCTGCAGCGTGCGCCCCGCTGCGTTGCCCCTGCAACACTCCTGCCTGGACGTCTGGCCGACCCCGCCTGCACACCTGCCTGCCTGCCCCACTGCCCGCCTGCCTGCCTACCTGTCTGCACATACATATGCACACGCGCGCAACCACACACACTTGTCTCTCTCACTGATGTTTCTAATCCTGTATGCCGATCCTGCTCGTAACCTCACTCACATCTTCACTCTTGCCCATCTTGGCCCCACAACTGCCCGGCCGCGCAGGTCATGGGGCCCAACTGCAAGATCTTTGCGCTCAAAAGGATTCGGCTGCAGGTGCTCGCGATCTGTGCCTCGTGACCCCTCATCTGCCACGCCCCAGCCAGCAGCTCTGAGCGGCCCGTGTGCGGTGCCATGTCGCGCCGCCTTGCGAGCACAACCGCTTTGGCTGCCACCATTGGCCCCTGCCAGGGTCCCATCCAATCCATCGCAGCCCCCATCCTGATGTGTTCAGGCCAGCTCAGCCCGCGATACTGGACCCCACGCATGCACAAACCCTGCACGCCCGATCTCGTCACACCCCATTCGACACCCACGCGCCCCGAACACTTCACCCCGCACGCTCACGCGTCCACGCGACGACCCGTGCCTGCGTGTCATCCCCAGGGGCGCGACGTCGAGGCCGCGGCGGGGTTCATTGATGAAATCAACCTGCTGAACCGCCTCAAGGGCAAGCAGAACATCATCCAGCTCGTAGACGCGCAGGTGTGACAGACGCGGGGCACGGCCGGCGGGTGACGAGCAGTGTGTCGCGTCCGTACGCACAGAGGCTCTCTGCGGCTCTCCGCGCGCTGCGGTCGGCCGCCGGTGGAGTCAAGCTTGGTGTTAGGCCCCTCCTCGCAGCCCCCGCCGCGGGTCACACGCTAGCACACTTGCACGCGTACACACACAAACACACACACACACACACACACACACACACACACACACACACACACACACATGCACACACATGCACACACATGCACGCACACGTCACTACCCAGGTGTTCACCGACGAAGGGCTGGTGTACATGGTGCAGGTGCGCCCGCGGCCGCGCCTTCGAGGTCAAACAGGGTGTGGCCACGCGGGCCCTGCCAGGCCGCTCCCGAAGGATGCTGCCGCCGCAGACCCCGCCCGAGCTGGCGGCCCGGACAAGCGCCGCCTTGACTCCATCTCAGCTCGCAAGATCTCCTGCTGCTCGTCTATGCGTGTTGACTTGAGCCCTAAACCCCAAAAACTTCTCTTGGACCCTAAACCCCAGGAGTATGGGGAGATCGACCTCGCGCGCCTTCTGGCAAAGCACGAGGCGACGCGGCGGCATCGACGAGAATTTCATCCGGCTCTACTGGCAGCAGATGCTGCAGGTGTGGGGGACACGGGATTGGGGGGCAAAGGGGTGGAGACGGGGAGCTCTGGTCAGCCATACAGCCGGGCTTGGCCGCTTAGACACACCTCGCGGCCGCGCGTCCCGAGCCAGCAGGGGACCCAGGGCACGTGGGCATGTGCGGCCGCCACGGCTGCGGCCGCCTCTGGGGCGGCCTTCCTGTGTGCGGCCCGGGACCCCGCCCCGGCCCCTTTCTTAACGCGCTCCGTGCTCGGCCGCCCTAACAACCCTCCGCAAACCCCCAAACTCGGCCCCGATCTCAAGCCGGGCCTGCCGAATCGCCCGCCCTTGTTCCCCCCTCCCCCTCAAGGCCGTGGCCACTGTCCACGAGCTGCGCATCGTCCACAGCGACCTCAAGGTGGGGTGAGGGATCACAACACTGACGCTTGCTTTTGCGGGGCCATGGACGCATGAGGCGCCTGTTCACTGAGTCCTCAGTGGTTTGACCTCATGTTGGGGTGCAGGCGCTCGGCCTTTCGTGTGTCAGGGCATGGGTGCCTGGGCCGGCGCTGACGCACACAATGACACTTACTCAACGCCTACACACCCACCCTCTCTCTCCCTCTCTGTCACACACACACACACACACACACACGCACACGCCACATACACGCTCTCATACACACACTCACACACACTCACACTCAACCCCCAGCCGGCCAACTACCTGCTGGTGGAGGGCCAGCTGAAGCTCATCGACTTTGGCATAGCAAAGGCCATCGGGGGGGACACCACGTCCATTGCGCGGGAGTCACAAGTGAGGGGCCCTACGTGTGTTGGATATGTGTGTGGGTGAATTAAAAAATGAGTGCGTGCGTGTGTGTGTGGGTGAGTTTTTGTGTGTGCCTTTCGAAATGCTCGTGTGTGCACAAGTGTGTGCGTGTGTGTGCGTGTGTGTGTGTGTGTGTGTGCGCATGTGCGTGCACGCACGCGCATGCAGGGGCAGGGACCGGCGTGCGTGGCCGGCCCTGCGGCGAGGCTGCGCCGCGGCCGGCTCCAACCAGAGCCTCAGGGCCGAAACAAGCGGCGGCCGCGCCGTCGGCGGCTGGGCTCGTGGGCGGCCACCTGCTCGCGTGCTCCAGGCCCAACGCCGGAACAAAATCCATATCCCACTCTCCTCTGGATTGTTGCCAGGTGGGCACCCTGAACTACATGTCGCCCGAGGCCATCCTGGGGGGCACCAACAACATCCTCGGGGCCGCACCCATGAAGGCGCGCATGCGGCGCGGCGGCCGGCGGGCAGGGGGGCGGGGGAGGGCTGGCTGGCCGGGCGGCCCTGGGACCGGATGCCAGAGCACCTGGGCGTTTCCTCTCTTCGACATTCGGAGGCAGGGACCACCCCCCCCCCCCTTTGCTCCCAACGA